GTGAAGCGAGCTATCCTTCAAGAGGATTTCCGCCGCCGTGAGTTGGCGAGTGCGGATGGCGCTGGGGCAGCGAGCATCGGCCGTGGATATGGTCGAGGAAGAGGCAGAGGACGAGGGGGAGGAAGGTTTGGTGGCAGCAACTTCGGCGGAGGCCGCAGGAGTGGCGGTTACGGCAGCGACGACAAGAGCTACGGACGCGGTCGCGGCCGATTCGACGGCGAGTGTCACTATTGCCACAAGAGCGGACACATGTGGCGCGACTGCTACAAACTCCCTGATGGTTGGACCCCTGCTCAAGGCCAAGAGGGTAGAGGAGCAGGAGGAGGGAGAGGACGAGGCCGTGGAGGCCGTGGCGGTCGCGGTGGCGGAGCTGCAAACATGAAGAGCGGAGACAACGACAAGGACCCGAGCGACGATCGATACCCGGGTCTATTCTACTTCGTGTCGACGCAAGTACCGGCTGGTCCAGAGAAGGATGAAGGCTTTGAAGAGCCAGCAGCTGTGGGGAAGGTGACCCTACACCCCCTGGACTATAGGGTGATTGATAGTGGCGCTACCTATAGCATGACACCTCGCCCGGACTTGCTCACCGAACTCGAGCCGTCACCGGTGAAGCATGTCACATCGGCTTTGGGGCAGCGAGCAGAGGTGAAAGGCATGGGCAAGGCCATGTTCAAGGGTGCTGATGGGAAGATGGTGGGCCTCAAGAACGTGCTTTGGGTGCCCAGCCTTGCTGCAAACCTGATTTCCGTGCGGCGGTTGGCAAAGGCCGGCATGGACACGAACTCGAAGGGAGCCAAGACCTACACCGCAAGGCTTGGCGATCGAATTCTTTGGGACCTTCATGAGGACAGGGATGTCTACAACGAGATGTGGCAGATCCCAGTGGTCCCTATGCCTAAGGAGAGGCAAGTGGCAGCAAGCATCAGCACCAAGGATGGAGCGGTCGGTAGCGACGATGGCGCGAACGGTCGCGCTAAGGAGAATGAGCTCAAGAAGAGCAAACCTGGAGGGACCAGCAAGTTTAGTGAACCTAAGGAGAGTGGTGCAGCAACCAAGGAGCAGCAAAAGGGTGAGGAGAACCCAGAGGCAGCAGCGGAGGAGGACTACGGAGAGAGTATGTGGGGCGCTATTGCGAGCGCGGCATTCTCCAATCCAACTTCGGCTACGGGGGAGTGTGATTGGCTCACCTTGCATCGGCGCATGGGGCATGCGGCCCTGCCCATCTTGCAGCAGCTAGTGAAGAATGAGATGGTTGCTGGCATACGTGGGGGAGCCCGATGAGGTGCTTGGCTGCCCGACGTGCATTCAAGCCAAGTTCACCCGGTTTCCGTTCCCTAGTTCGGAGGCAACGGCAAAGGCACCGCTTGATGAGGTGGTGATGGACGTGGTGGGCCCCCTGAAGCTTGGAGCTGCTGGAGCTGAGTATTTTCTCACCATTGTCGACGTCTACACCTGCATGACTTGGGTGTACGTGCTGTCCAAGAAGAGCGACGTGGCTGAAACGTTGAAGACGGATTGGTTTCCGATGGTGGAGCGGCAACAAGACCGTCTAGTCAAGTCAATCCGCACCGATCGAGGGGGAGAGTTCCTGAGCAAGGAGTTTGGGTTGTGGCTGAAGAAGAATGGTATTCGGCACTCCCTCACCATGCCATACTCCCCTGCAATGAACGGAATCGCCGAGCGAGCGAACCGCACAATCACGGAGGCGGCACGCGGGTTGCTCATTGAAGCCGGGCTACCCGACTATTTCTGGCCTGATGCGGTGCGGAGCGCGTGTGTGGCCAAGAACAGAGCCTTGACTCATGTGGGAGCAGACAAATGGGTGCCCTATGTGGAGTGGCTAGGAAGGAAGCCAAAGGTGGATATGCTTCGGGTGTTCGGGTGCATGTGCATGGCGCTCGTGCCTAAGCATCTTCGGCACAACAAGCTTGGTGCCAAGGCGGTGTGGGCCGTGCACTTGGGCATGGCTCAAAACAGCAAGGGATGGCTTCTTTGGGACCCATTCACCAAGAAGTTCTTGGTGAGCAGGGACTGCAAGTTCATGGAGAACTTCATGTACAAGGATTGGAAGGCGGAGAATGAGGCGAAGATAGGCGTGCGGTTTGGGGAGGTGAAGAGTTCCGGTTTGGAGCATGTGGAGCTGCCTTTGGAGCTGAGCAGCGGCAGCACAACCACAAGGCAATCCTCCCTTGTGAATGGGGGAGAGGAGGCCAATGATGCAGAGGAAGAAGAGGAGGAGGTGCAGCAAGTGAGCGAGCGTGCATCGTCACTCCCTTCCCGTAATACGAGTGCTCCACGGATTCGAGCCACACCGCAGCAACGCCAAGGCCTTCAAGTCCCTGCAGCTGAGGAGGAAGGAAGGGGGAAGAGGAGAGTTCAACCCCCTAATAGGCTGACCTATGATGCGCCGGGAAAGCAGGGCAAGACAGCCCTGGCCGGAGCGGCAATGATGGTCGGAGACGACGAGGAGAGTGACTACGAGGAGTGTGCCTTCGCGTTTTTCTCTCCGGTGGAGATGCCGGGAGAACCAGCAACTCTCAAGGAGGCTTTGGAGAGTAGTGATGCTGAGGAGTGGAAGAAGGCCATGGAGAGTGAGCTGAAGAGCATCGAGGAGAATGACACGTTTGAATTGGTGGAGCTACCGGAGGGGCGTACGGCGATAACGTCCAAGTGGCTCTTCAAAATCAAGTCGGATGCCGACGGCAAGATCGAGCGCTACAAGTCTAGGCTTGTAGCCAAGGGGTACCAGCAGAAGGAGAAGGTGGACTTCAAGGAGCTGTTTGCCCCTGTGGTGAAGCCGACGACGCTGCGAACCCTATTCGCGGGAGCCGCCATCAAAGGATGGGTAGTAAAGCAAATGGACATCGTAACGGCATTCCTTAACGGCATCCTTGAGGAGGAGATTTTTATGGCGCAGCCAGAGGGGTTTGATGATGGTAGTGGCAGAGTGTGGAAGCTGAAGAAGGCCCTCTATGGGCTGAAGCAGGCCCCTAGGCAATGGTACATGAAGCTGCGCGAAGTGTTGGAGGGGATCGGCTTCACTCCCTCAACGGCCGATCACTCCTTGTTCATGCTTGGCGAGGGGGAGCAGAGGAGTTTCATGGTGGTTTATGTGGATGACATCCTCATTTTCTCACCCTCTTCTGACCTTGTGAAGGAGGTGATGCTGAAGCTTCAAGACAAGTTCAAGTGCAAGGCCCTTGGTGACGTGAGCTTCTACCTTGGGCTCCACATCGAACGAGATGTGGAGAAGCGGTGCATGCGGGTGCATCAACGAAAGTACCTGGAGGCATTGGCTGCCAACTTTGGGCGGAGTGAAGGCCATGTGGCTACACCCTTTCCCTCTGGGTTCAAGTGTGTGAAGGGACCAGAGGAGGAGAGCGTTGGTGAAGAGGAGAGGCGCCGATTTCACTCGTTGGTGGGCAGCCTCATGTATGCGGCGGTAAACACCCGACCGGACGTCGCGTTTGCTACCGGGCAGCTGGCTAGGGTTGTGCAATGCCCTAATGAGGAGCAGGTAGCAGCTGGAATGAGGGTGGCCAAGTATCTTGGCCAAACACCGACCGTTGGGCTGCAATACTCGGCGGCGGCACAAAGGCGCCAAAAGGGCGCGGATGGTGTTGAACCCGGGCGTTTGTTCCTCACCGCCTACTCGGATGCTTCATATGCATCAGAACCAGAGGACATGACAAGTGTGGGAGGCTTCATATGCTGTGTTGGTGGAGGCCCAACTGCTTGGGAGAGCAAGAAGCAGGTTGACCAAGCTTTGAGCTCGGTGGAGTCCGAGTACATGGCACTCTTCCGTGCCGTACGGGAGATTGTGTGGCAGCGGCGTTTGTTGGCTGAATTGGGGGAGGAGCAGCAAGGACCTACCCCACTGTACTGTGACAGCCAGGGTGCCATTGCTCTTGCTAAGAACCCTGTGTTGCATGGACTCACGAAGCACATGAGGGTGAAGTGGCATTGGATGAGGAGCATGGTAACCGCGGGTGAAGTTGAGTTGCGCTACGTGAAGACCACGGGGCAGCCGGCTGACATGATGACCAAGAGGCTGGTGGAGCAGCAGCATTGGAAGTGTTGCAAGCTGGCTGGGATGGCTCTGAACTGAGAGAGCAACATATCCTAAGGCCAACAATCCGAGGGGGAGTTTGTTGGTGCAACCCTACGGTTTGCACTCGGCTTGTTGTCCGTGTGCGTGAATGTGTGTGTGTATGGAATGGTATGAGGGCATGGGATAATATATATTTCATGCTTATAATTGTGTGTGAATGTTGAGTCATGATGTCGAGTGTGTGTGTCGAGTCAATAGCGAGTTATCGCTAGACGCGTGTTACGCGGTCGTTTGTGTCTCGCGCGCGGTTTCTATTTTGTCGTGCGCGGTTTCTATTTTGTCCTGTGTCGAACGTTCGGCGTGTCGCAGGTGTGTGCAGCAGACCCATCAAGAACTCAAGGATGAGTTTGTGATGAAGAGCCCGAGCCTTGGTGTCAAGCCTCAAGTGATTTCGAAGCTCGCCAAAAAGGGTACACCTCAAGATATTGAAGATAGTTACATTACTTTGTGTAGTGTAACATTTCACTTGGTGTAGGCCCTAGTGAAGGGTAGTTTCGAGACCCTTCGTGGTTGGGGACAGTGTGGCACTGTTCCACATCACTGTACCTCGGCTCTTGGGGTTTGTAGGAGCTGGGAGTCATTCCCAACTCGTAACTCTTCCTATCTTGTGTTCTAAGACTATAGTGGCTGCCATAGTACCGTTCGTTCAAACCGACGCTGTGTCGTCAATTCTTTATCAAATCGTGCAATCTAAATTGCTAATTGTAGACGACGTGAAGACGCTCCAGATCCAATTTGAATCAAGTCATTTGCAGCTGTGAGCAGAACGCTATCAACGTTTGAAGCCGCTGTGCAGAAATCCGTCTGTGCTCTCTATCTTTCGTTTTAGGCACATTCAAGCCTATTGTGACTATAACAGTGGGTTGGAAGGCGGATGGAGGGGAGCTTAGGGAGAGGCAGGATAGGGAGGGTAAATGCGAGCATGGTGACATGAGATGAGGCTGAATAAGAATAGAGGCGATAGGAGGCGTGAATGGGAGACGGGAAGGCAGGGAAAGGTGATGGGAGGCGTGAATGGGAGACGGGAAGGCAGGGAAAGGTGATGGGAGGCGTGAATGGGAGACGGGAAGGCAGGGAAAGGTGATGGGATGCGTGAATGGGAGACGGGAAGGCAGGGAAAGGTGATGGGAGGCGTGAATGGGAGACGGGAAGGCAGGGAAAGGTGATGGGAGGCGTGAATGGGAGACGGGAAGGCAGGGAAAGGTGATGGGAGGCGTGAATGGGAGACGGGAAGGCAGGGAAAGGTGATGGGAGGCGTGAATGGGAGACGGGAAGGCAGGGAAAGGTGATGGGAGGCGTGAATGGGAGACGGGAAGGCAGGGAAAGGTGATGGGAGGCGTGAATGGGAGACGGGAAGGCAGGGAAAGGTGATGGGAGGCGTGAATGGGAGACGGGAAGGCAGGGAAAGGTGATGGGAGGCGTGAATGGGAGACGGGAAGGCAGGGAAAGGTGATGGGAGGCGTGAATGGGAGACGGGAAGGCAGGGAAAGGTGATGGGAGGCGTGAATGGGAGACGGGAAGGCAGGGAAAGGTGATGGGGGGCGTGAATGGGAGACGGGAAGGCAGGGAAAGGTGATGGGAGGCGTGAATGGGAGACGGGAAGGCAGGGAAAGGTGATGGGAGGCGTGAATGGGAGACGGGAAGGCAGGGAAAGGAGATGGGAGGCGTGAATGGGAGATGGGCAGGCAGGGAAAGGTGATGGGAGGCGTGAATGGGAGATGGGCAGGCAGGGAAAGGTGATGGGAGGCGTGAAGGGGAGATGGGCAGGCAGGGAAAGGTGATGGGAGGCGTGAATGGGAGATGGGCAGGCAGGGACAGGTGATCGGAGGCGTGAAGGGGAGATGGGCAGGCAGGGACAGGTGATGGGAGGCGTGAATGGGAAATGGGGAAGGTGGAACGAGGAGAAGGGAGGGTGGGACGTGGAGATTGGGAGGCGGGATGGGGAGATTGGGAGGTGGGACGAGGAGAAGGGAAGGCGGGATGGGAGAATAAGAGGCGGGACGAGGAGAAGGGAAGGCGGGATGGGAGAATAGGAGGCGGGACGAGGAGAGAAGGTAGGGACGGGATAGACAGGAGATTGCAAGGAGGGATGAGAGGGAAGGGGGAAAAGGGAGAGAAGGTAGGGGGGGAGGGAAGGGAGAGAAGGGAGGGAAGGGAGAGAAGGGAGGGAAGGGAGGGAATGGAAGGAAGGAGGGAAGCGAGGCACGGGAGAGAAGGGAGGGAAAGGAGGAGACGGGAAACCAGGGAGAGAAGGAACGGAAGGAAGGGAGGGAACTTAGAGAAGGGAGAGTCGGGAGAGAAGGGAGGGACTGGAGGGGGAGGGAAGGGAGAGAAGGGAGGAAAGATAGAGAAGGGAGGGAAGGGAGAGAAGGGAAGGAAGGGAGAGAAGGGAGGGAAGGGAGAGAAGGGAGGGAAGGGAGAGAAGGGAGGGAAGGGAGGGATGGTAGAGAAGGGAGAAAATGGAGAGAAGGGAGGGAAGGGAGTGAAGGGAGGGAAGGGAGGGAAGGGAGGGAAGGGAGGGGAGGGAAGGGTGGGACGGGAGAGGAGGGAGAGACAGGAGATTGCAAGGCGGGATGAGAGGGAAGGGAGAAAAGGGGGAGAAGGTAGGTGCGGAGGGAAGGGAGAGTAGGGAGAGAAGGGAGGGAAGGGAGGGAATGGAGGGAAGGAGGGTAGTGGGGGACGGGAGAGAAGGGAGGGAAGGGAGGGAAGGAGGGAAGGGAGGGAAGGGAGGGAAGGGAGAGAAGGGAGGGAAGGGAGGGAATGGAGGGAAGGAGGGAAGTGGGGGACGGGAGAGAAGGGAGGGAAAGGAGAGACGGGAAAGCAGGGAGAGAAGGAAGGGAAGGGAGGGAAGGGAGGGAACTCTGAGAAGGGAGAGACGGGCCTAAAGAGAGGGAAGGGAGGGAAGGGAGAGACGGGGGAGAAGGGAGGGGTTGGTGGGAAAGGAGGGAACGGAGGGAAGGGAGAGACGGGAGGGAAGGTCGAGAAGGGAGGGAAGGGAGGCACGAGTGAAGGGAGGGAAGGGAGAGGAGGGAGGGAAGGGAGGGAAGGGGATTCGGGCGACGGAAAGAGGAATAGGGAGGCGGGAAGGGGAGTCGGGCGGCGGGAAATGGGAGTCGGGCGGCGGGAAGGCGCTTTGGCTGGCGGGAAAGAGGAAGCGGGCGGCGTGAACGGGAATCTGACGGCGTGAAAGGGGAATCGAACGGCGGGAAAGGGCGGTAGGGCGGCAGGAAAGGGGATTCCGGGCACGAAAAGGGAATCGGGCGGCGGGAAAGGAAGCGGGCAGCGGAAAGGGGATATTGGGAGGAGCACGAGGGCCCGCAGTGTGTCGCGCGGCCAGCGTGATCGCGGTGGCGTGAGGAGGCAGCGTGGGGCGGCGAGGCGACGCCGCGAGCGGATTTACGGTGAGGCGACACCGCGACGGGATTTGAGGCGAGCCTACGAGGCAGCAAGTTGCGGTAGGACGAGACCGTACAGTTGGCTCGATGCGAAGGCGATTTGCGGCGAGCGGATTATGCAATGCGGTTGCCCCCCCTGGCTGCGTGGGGAGGCAACGAGATATCTACTGAAAGTGCGGCGAAGCCGCGAGGCGACGCCGCGGCGACGAAACGAATGAATGCTTATTCGGCGACGAAATCTCCGGCGCAATCTCCGGCGCATGACCTAAGCCTAAGAGACGCACTTCAATGGTGTAGGAAATCATTCTAGTAGTGCACGCTAGGAACGCTACTGGAGTGAGCTGCTGCGGGGGGGAAATGAATCAGTATACTTTTGACAGTCATAAACTTTTGGCATTCGAAAGAGCTGGGGGGAGTTGGAGGCTGCTCGTTGTTTCTCGAGAGAGAGGGTGGGCTTGTAATTCGGTAACCACCGTGTACCATTTGGCACTGGCCCTGCCAAATGTATACTGCTGCTTGAGTTGGAGAGGGTGAGTTGGAAAAGGAAGTTTGTAACTTGGGTGGTTGGAATGGGCTTTGGAGGAGTTGAGTGGTTTGGATGGATTCTTAGGAAAACGTGTCGAGGGTGTTTTGAGGGGAAGGGGTTGGAGTGGCACAGTAGCGTGGCACGTGAAGAGCGTGCCATTCACAACTTGTGGAGTTGAGCCCACAGACTGCGACTAATTCCTACCTAAGGCCCAGATTCAACTATACTAATTGACACTAACTTGCGCAATTTTAGAGACATTCAGGGTTCGAACACCTTACTGTCTCACAGATAGACTACTTCACAGTCATCGTGAGAGACGTTTCAATAGCCTCCGGCGACGCGCACCGCATTCCATGCGGTGCTCGCTGGCGTCATTCTAGCCGGATCCGCAGCGCGCGACACCAGCTTAGCGCGTCACCCGCATCGCGCCTAGTACCCCGCTGCGCCACTCGTCGCTTAGCGCGGCACCTCGCGGCGCCTCACCGTTTCGCGCCTAATACCCCGCTGCGCCCCTCATCGCTTAGCGCCGCACCTCTTAGTGCCTCACCGCTTAGCGCCTCACCGCTTAGCGCCTCACCGCTTAGCGCCTCACTGCTTAGCGCCTCACTGCTTAGCGCCTCACTGCTTAGCGCCTCACTGCTTAGCGCCTCACTGCTTAGCGCCTCACTGCTTAGCGCCTCACTGCTTAGCGCCTCACTGCTTAGCGCCTCACTGCTTAGCGCCTCACTGCTTAGCTCCTCACTGCTTAGCGCCTCACTGCTTAGCGCCTCACTGCTTAGTGCCTCACTGCTTAGCGCCTCACTGCTTAGCGCCTCACTGCTTAGCGCCTCACTGCTTAGCGCCTCACTGCTTAGCGCCTCACCCACTGCGATTCCTCTCAAGTTAGGTCGCAGGCGAGTGCTTCTCGTGTAACCCATAGCATTGGCGAGCCGCTTAGCACGTCACCCGCGTCACGCTCACCCTCTGCGCGCCTCACCTGCTGCTCGCATCCCAGGGCGAATGTCGAATTCACCTCAGATGCTGCGCTCCGCAAAACAAAGGACCTCACGCACTGCTCGCCGCCTTTTCGTCTCACTTTTGTCGCCAACTCGCTCAGCCATTCGTCGAGCAGGCCAAATCGCCACCGATTAGTGGGCGCGCCGCCATGTTTGCGAGACCGTCATCCAACCTCCTTCCCCGTACCCCTCATTTCCCCTCCCTCTTCCCTCATTTCCAACTCCATCTCATTTCCTCCACTTCCTCCTCGTTTCCCCATCTCTCCCTCTCATTTTCCCCCCTTCCTCCTCTCATTTCCCCCCCTGCTCCCTCCCTATTTCCCTCACTGCTCCTCCACACTTCCCCCCACTTCCGGGGAAAATTTTCCCCTTGTATTATGGGTGCATATTTCCCACAGGTAGGCTACTCTGATTGCTTAGTGTTGAAAAGTAGTCAACTCTGATTGCTCATGGTCGAGAATTGAGCATCAATGTAGTAATGCGCTCTGGGTTAAACGGGGACAAAAGTTACACTCCGCATGATCCCAACACAATTCGACATCATGGGTGCATATTTTCCACAGGTAGGCTACTCTGATTGCTTAGTGTTGAAAAGTAGTCAACTCTGATTGCTCATGGTCGAGAATTGAGCATCAATGTTGTAATGTGCTATGGGTTTAACGGGGACAAAAGTTACACTCCGCATGATCCCAACACAATTCGACATCATTTCGTACAATTTTTCATACGGGCAGATAATCATCTAAACCACGAATCACCCATCCAAATCCTGCCCAATGTCAACGTAATTTGTTTGTATTTTGACCGCGATCGTTCTCACCGGCTAATGTTGGCCGTTGGGGTCCACCAACCTGGTCAAACTTTTGTGTCTTTTGCACGCACACTGTGGCAACCCCTTAGATTCTGCTGAGGTGTCGCCACGGTGTCAGACCAGCAAGTTGCTTTTGGGCTAACCTGCCCCAAGGATCCTCCGAACCTCGCTTACCATAAAACGTGCATTTCTGCTGCCGAACAGGGCCAAGGACAAGAGATTCGCTCTGACACAGCAGATCTGCTGCGTCAGAGGTGTTCTGCCAAAAATCCCCGCAGCATGCTGCGCCTCACACGACACCACAAACATCTACCCCACCCCACCTTCCCCAACCCCAAACATCCACCCCACCTTGTTGGGTGTTAATTGTCGGTATTAGCGTACAAAAAGGGCTCCCCCACATCGGTAAAGGGGAAATCATGATTACGCACATGAGGGGTTATCGAGAAGAAAGTCCCAGGAAACTTTGTCTCGATACCCTCGCATTCAGGGTCCACAGAACGAGTACTCTACATTGACAGAGTCAGTAAGAACAGTACTCTGAGCCTAGATACAATATTTCAGGGTTCGCTAAAGCACTATTCTGAATGGATCAGTGTTCACAAGTCAGAAATTTCGAAATTGTAGGGACCATCAGGTGAGAAGCCTGTAATCACCCTGAAATCAGGGAAATTACCCTGATAAAATCAGCCCTGCCCCCCCCCCCCCCCCCCCCCCCCTCCTCCTCTGACTAAATCAAATGTTGCTGAGATATGAATTTAAACGAGAACGCATTCCTGTGCACTGCAGGAGCCAGACGAGTACGAAACCGAGGTGCCAGATGCTAGTTCAATCTTTCCTGCCTGTAGTTTCTGACATGGTTTCAGAGCAGGGCTCTTGCTAGGATTCAGGCCCGTCTGACATCCCCCCCAAAAAAATCGTTTTGTCTGACCTTCAGACGGGCAATTTTTTTTGGTCTGTTTTTTCAGATGAAAGTTGGAGCTATGTCTGTTTTTTAAGACGATGTTTGTTGCATGGTCTGATTGCACTCTACACTAGCCAGCCATAATGCGGTAGAAATCTGAGTTCACTAAGTACGAAATGAATAAGTCGCTGACTAACATGACAGGCGTGACCAGCCAGGTGGCGAGGGGGACTGGTACAGGGGGAGGACCGTGTTCTGTTGAATTTGTGCGACGACCAGGGGGAATGAACTAGGGCTGGGAGAGGATCGAGGGACTGGGGGAGAGTGGGGGGGGGGGGGGGGGGGGGGTGGTGTGTTGAGTGGTAGAGGAGCGAGGTTGACTGCGGGGGGGCTGGGCTGCTAGAGGAGCGAGGGACTTCGGGGAGGCTCCTGGTACTGTACAGTCGAGGAACGAGAGACTGGGGGGTGGGTGGGGGTTTGCAGGAGGGGTGAGGGACTCGAGGGGGCAGGGGGGAAGGAGACGGGAGGGGAAAAGAAGGGTGGGGGGGGGGGGGTACCTCGATACTTTGTCGTTATCAGATGAAAGCATACTCGATGTCTGAAATGTCAGACAGAATATAACGCGCTTGTCAGAATGTTATAATTGTCTAACCTGCAGTGGGGTACTCAATAGTGAGTACAGCCCAATTTAGGGTTTGCTATATGTACTCAACTGCTTGCTAGTGAACCTCCTCTCTTCTTCATTCCTCATTCTTCACATGCTATCAGAGCATCTAACTGCTCCTGGCCTGTGGGCCCACCTAACTGCTTCCGCTGCTACTCTGTGTGCTGCACGCCCCGTGGCGTGCCCCTCGCGCGACCCTTAGCGGCCCCGTCGCCACCCCTCGCGGCCCCGTCGCCGCCCTTCTCGGCCACTCGCGGCCCCTTCGCGGCCCTGTCGCCGCCCCTAACGGCCCCGTCGCCGACCGTTCAGGCCCCTTGCGGCCTCTTCGCGGCCCCGTCGCCGCCCCTAGCGGCCCGTCGCCGCCCTTCCAGGCCCCTCGCGGCCCCCTTCGCGGCCCCGTCGCCGCCCCTATCGGCCCCGTCGCCGCCTCCAGCGGCCCCGTCGCCGCCCCTTTCGGCCCTGCCTCGACCCTGCCCCGGCCCCGCCCCGGCCATGCTCCGTCGCCTGTCGCGGCGCACCGGGGGCACGTGCACCGCCCCCCCCTCATTTCCCGTCGCCCGTCGCGGCTCCCTGGGGGGCCGCACGCGGCCCCCTCAGGTCGCCTCGACAGGCGACAGGAGGGGCGACCTGGGGGGGGGGGGGCGAGCGTCGCCCCTTCTGCCGCCTGTTTTGGCGCCCTGGGAGGCCGCGCGTCGGCCCTCCCCCCCCCCCCCCCCCCCCCGTAACCTCCCTACCCGCCGTCCCGCCCTGCCCTGTGTTAGGGTCTGGGGGTGGCGAGTAGGGGGTGGCGGGTGTGTGGTCTCCCCTGCTCCTCCTCCTCCTCTGTCTCCCACAGCTGCAGCTACCGCTGAGGGGGGTGGGTGTGTGGGAGTCGACGGAGTGGTGCTAGGGGGTGGGGTGTGAGTGAACCTAGGGTGCAGCAGGGGGTGTGTGAAAGGGGGGTGCTTTGGGAGTAGAACTAGGGTTTGAGCAGGGGGTGTGTGTCGAGAGGTGTGGGGCAGCTGGAGGAGGTTGTGTGAAGGTAGCTGTCGTGTCGCCTGCAGCGCCTGTAGTCCGTCCCCCTTGCTTCGGTAGCCAGTGAGCCTGTTGCACCAGTCGCCAGTGAGTCCGTTGCTCCTGCCGCTCGTCTATAGCCGCGGAGCCAGTTACTCCAGTAGTCCGTCGCCCTTGCTTCGGTAGCCACTGAGTCAGCCGCTCCTGTGCCCGTGCCTCTGCAGCTTCAGTCGTTGCCTCCCATCTTCTCTCCCTCCACAGTTCCTCCTCCTCCTCACTTGCCCGCTGTGATTAACTCTAGCTTTGCTCGCTATTGTGAACTCCTGCTCTATGCCTGCTTGCTCATTGTGCTGATTACACCCCACTTTGGCTATGGGGGTGTGTCAGAATGTTATAATTGTCTAGCCTGCAGTGGGGTACTCAATAGTGAGTACATCCCAATTTAGGGTTTGCCATATTTACTCAACTGCTTGCTAGTGAACCTCCTCTCTTCTTCATTCCTCATTCTTCACAGCGCTGTCTTATTTTTAAGACGAAATAAAATCCTCTGTCTTATGGTTCAGATGAAATTAAATTGCTGGTCTTGAAAATCATATGAAACGAAAAAAGTAGGTCTGTTTTTCAGACCATCAGACCGATTTGGTCTGATAACCAGAGCCCTGTTTCAGAGCAGTAGACCCGTAGGACCGTTTTTTTTCAGGCCCACCTACCGTTGTGGTTACTGAGCTGCCCCACGAGTTGCCTGCGCTGCGCCGCCCGCACGCGCCTTGCCTTGCCTGCGCTGCGCTGCCCGCGCGCGCCTTGCCTTGCCTGCGCTACGCTGCCCGCGCGCGCCTTGCCTTGCCTGCGCCTTGCCTTGCCTTGCCTGCGCTGCGCCGTCCGCGCGCGCCTTACCTTGCCTGCGCTGCGCTGCCCGCGCGCGCCTTGCCTTGCCTGCGCTGCGCTGCATGCGCGCACAAACCCTAATTCTGCGCGCAGCTCGCTGCTGTCCCGCGCGTCGCGTCTGTCGCCTGCGCAGCCCGCTGCTGCCCCGCGCGTCGTGTCCGCCACCCTTGTGCAGTTCGGTGCTGCCCCGCGCGCCGCGTCAACAGCTCGCACAGCCCGCAGCAGCCCCGCGCGCCTCGGCTGCGGCCCTCGCGCAGCCCGCGGCTGCCTCGCGCGTCGTGTCCGCCGCCCGCGCAGCCCACGGCTGCCCCGCGCGCCGCGTCCGCCGCCCGCGCGGCCTGCAGCGGCCCCGTGCACCGCGTCCGCCGCCTTCGCGCGGCCCGGGGCTGCCCCGCGCGCCGCCTCAGCCGCTCGCGCAGCCCGCGGCTGCCCCGCGCGCAGCCTCAGCCGCCTGCGCGCCGCTACTGCAGCCTGCGCGCGCCTCGCGGCTGCCCTGCGCCTGCGCTCTGCCCTGCCTGCGCGCGGCTCGCTGCCGCGTCGCCCGGCCTGCGCACCACTGTGAACCCTACCCTACCTACGCGCGACCTACCTTCCCGCGCGCCCTACCTCCTGCAGCATGCCGCCTTCCTCTGGCGGACCATCGCCTTTTCCTGCCCGTGCGCCGC